GTCTCAGCCGGACTATTTATAAATACAAGAGAGGCGGCTCTGGATTCTAATGTGATGACTTATCAAGTTACAGACCAGCATGGAAATCAATCAGTTGATATACAATCCATAGAACCAGAATGGAGATTCAAGCCACAAAAGCAAAACCAACAAGATCAAGTTATAGATCAGCATGAAAACCAAACAGTTGATATACAATTTATAGAAAGGAAATCAGGATGGAGATCTAACCCACAAAAAGTCAAGAAAAGAAGAAGCAGGTCTCACAAAAACAAAAACTTTTAAACTAAACAACAGTGTAATGCCAGTTATCTAAGAGATGATTGAATATATGAAAAGATAGCTGAGGCAAAATATTGGTTTATATTATCTTGAGGAGAGTGACAGACCTCTGCAGTGCTGTACTTTTGGGATGTGAAAAGGGCCTTGAACTGAATGGATTGGAACTATTTTTTTTTTGGATTCTTTGATAAATGTACTACGTTTATGCTGAGCTACAAGACAAGAGAGTTATGGGATTGGGGCACGCAGATGATCTGGTTGTTACCCTATTACGGTGGTTGGAATTAATAATTTAGATGAAAGACACTACTATAGACACTATATGGAATATAAATATAAAGTCACTCAGGTGGTTTTTTTTTTTTAGAAGATATTTGCTATTGATGGGGGCAGATGGTAATTGAAGATACCGAACATACTGTTGGAATTAGGATGTGATGTTACCCTAACATGGGTGATGAAGTTAACAATCCAGCTGAAAGACATTACAGAAGATACCATATGGATTACAAGCTTAAAGTCATTTTAAGAGGATTTTATTTACATAAGGGAATATTTTTTAGTGGTGTGGGCAGAAGAATAAAGATATTAAGAATTATTAAGTATGGTAGTCCTGTAGGAAAGTGGGTGGAGACAGGTTAGCTTATTGATTGTTTAGTTTAAGAAAAGGGATATTATGTTTAGATATGAATATATGTAAAAGATTTGAGTTAAGAGATATATCTATGGGGGTGGAGGAAATGGGCAGACTATGAGTTGAATCAATGTTAAATTAGGAATTATTATATAGTCTTATAGTGGAAGGTTGCTTTGAAATGTTATATTAATATACATAAAAGATTTGATTTAAGAGATATATGTATGGGGGGGGAGAAAAAGGTAGATTGTGAGCAGAAATTGCTAAACTGGGAGATATAATAATATTATGCTAAATTAGGAGTTATTATATAATGTTATGGTAGAATGTTATTTTGAAATGTATAGTATAAGGGGGATATAATAATATTATTAGAAAGAAAGGGTGAGCGTATGGGGGATGGAGCAAGGGGATGGTAAAGTATTATATAATCTGTTATGAATTTGGGTTTTATTTTGAAGAAGCCACAGGGGGAGGGTAGGGGGAGGGGGGTTAGGGAGGAGGGGGGAAAAGGGGGGGAAAATTTGTATTTGAAAAACTTTTTCAATAAAAAAAAGAAAGAAAAAGCATTATATGAAAATGCCTGGGTGGGTTTCGAAAATGGAGGCGATGATTCATCCCAACACTATGGATATAAATAAAATGGCCAAATGCAGCGAAATTTTAGATTGCCAAAGAAATTTAAAAAGTAGTCAAGACATAGAAAAACAGGGAATAAATATAGATTGGTAGCCTTATTTGCAATTAAAATCATGGTATTTAAAAAATAAAGAGGAATACAGATTTGAATTGGTCCCACAACAATTAGACAAATTATTGATTGGCCCGGATGAAAAATTGATAACTAAAATTTATGACTATTTATTAGAATTTGACAGAGCTGAGGACATAGTGAAGGGAGTGATGATAGCTTGGGCAAAAAATGTAGGGCACAATATTGAATTAGAGGATTGAGAAACAATTTGGAACAGAAATTATAAAATAACAAAATCAGCAACATATAAAGAGAACCAATACAAAATGTTTTATCGTTGGTATTTTGCACCTTCAAGATTGGCAAAAATATACCCAAATTTAAGCCCAAATTGTTGGAAATGTAGACAAAAATTGGATTCTGTCTTTCATTCATGGTGGTTATGCCCAGAATCGAAAAAATTTTGGGAAAAAAATACAAACTTGGTTACAGGATTTAACTGGTTTTCAAATAGAATACACACTGGAATTGTTTCTTCTCGGGATAACGAATGGGAAATATGATAAAAAAAAACAACATACATCATTCTACATATAATAACAGCGGCAAGACCAGCCTTTGTGCAATGTTTGAGAAATACAAATATGCCCTCTGAAGACTTAATAGTTAAAAAAGTTTTTGACTGCACTGAAATGGACAAATTGACACTTGAACTAAAAGAATTGACAGATTTGGAATACTACGTAATGTGGGAGAAGTGGTACAAATGGATTGAAAATAGAAAAAAAGAATTAGATAAATTAGGATTGGATTTAGTTAGAAATTTAGTTAGAGTATAAGTAAATTATAGTAATATGTCATGTAAATGGTCACAGTAATGTACAAGAATTCTTTCTTTTTGTATTTTAATTATTGAAAATTAATAAAATATTAAAAGTTACAGAATACATATAATTAAGTCTCTTACATCACCTTATTAAAATTATCAACAACAATAATCAAAAGTATAAAATGTGATTCAGAATAGAATATTACAGGTAGCTGTCAACTTACAGCTGGACTTTCTGGTTTGTTTGGGATTTTTTTTTGGAAGGGGGGGACATTTTGCTTCTCATCCAAGAACTTGAATGAGAAGCAAAATGTCTTAAAAAAAAAAACCAGAAAGTCCAGTTGCTCTTGAAAAAGTACCTTTTTCAAGGTTTTCCAGCAAGCATCAGAACCAGACTTTTTCCAGCCAGCACCAAAGCCAGAGGGCGTTTTATGCAGGCAAAATCAATCTGATTTGATATCAGAATATCAAAAGATATTGACTGAAAAAGTCCATGATGGGATTTTAGCATGGAACACTTGAAGCATGGGGCATTTGGAGCCAATTGGATGCTGCAAATCTGTGCTAAAATCCTTTTTGGTTTTTCAGCCAGCATCTTTCAGAGTGGATGGGATGCTTGGTGCAGGCAAAATCAATCTGGCAGACGACTCGTTCAGTTTAAAGAGGTTGATTGAAAAAGGTCTGTCCCAAAATGTGACCCAATGGATTTGTTCCAGCCAGCCCTCAGGAACCAGGAGTCCTGTGGCAGGACTTGCAACATTTTTCTGAAAAAAAGAATTGTCCTTTATAATAAAGGACATATGGTCACTGTAGTTAACTTCTATTATCTTATTCTTCCCTTTCTTTAATCAGCTTGGGACCACACTACAGGAAGGTTTGTGACTTTCCTTGAATTAACTACCATGTTTCCCCAAAAATAGGACTTACCCCAAAAATAAGCCTTAGCCTGATTTTTTAAGAGCACCTAATATGACCCCTACCCCAAAAATAAGCCCTAGTGAAGGGGACTGGGCATGGCCAACACAGGAGGCAGCGAAAATATGCATGAACCGACGGTGTCTGGCAGCAGCCGCAGCCCACGCAATGCAGCTGAGTTGATTACTTATCTAAGCAGAGGCGGAGGCAGAGGGGGGGGAACATGCAATCTGGACATGTGGGCTGTGGGGAAGCTGAGAGTTGTTGGGCTAGAGTAGTGGGCGGCTGCGGGAGGCACATCTTCATGCGGTGGCATAGGCAGCAGGTGGAGGCAGAGGGGCAGGAGGGAAGGCAGCTGATCCAGATGCACCATGCGGGGCGTAGGAAAGCCAAGACAAAGTGGGCCGGAACAGGTGGGCAACCGCAGGAGGCTTATCTTCACATCTCTTGACTTGCCTGTGGCCTGCACAGCGCATTGGGATTTCCTGCTTTCCATCCTGTACCTCTGCCTCCATCTACTGCTGGTGCTGCCACACGAAGATGAGCCTCCTGCGGCTGCCCATCCAATCTGGCCCACTGACTTGGCTTTCCCGTGGTGCGTCTAGATCGCCTAGCTCCTCCCCAGGCCTCTGCCTCCATCTGCTGCTTGGAGAGGGAATGCTGCCGGATACCATCGGTTCCTGTATGCTTGATGCCTCTTGGAAGCTAGTGCACCCAACTGAGCTGATCACTCTGAAATAGTGTTTCCCCAAAATAAGCCCTACTGCTTATTTTGGAGCCCCCCCAAAATATAAGACTCAGTCTTGTTTTTGGGGAAACACGGGTTATCAGTATCAATGTTAAAGATTTTCTATTTTTGATACATATTTTCTTTCTTATGATGTATCCTTTGGGAATATTATGACATTTTTAGTCCGATGCAGAAAATTGTACGTCAAAGAACTAGACATTTCTGAGCCAGTTCACAATGACGTTATGGGACACATGGGCAAAAGCAACATGTGTTTTTGTTGAGAGAGTTGTAATCTGAGAGGCTTCCTAGTAACACTGTGAATATGCCTGTTAAATCCTGGTGAGAGACAGTAGTTCGAAGATGTATTAGGCTGGGGTAGATAACCTTTCTGGTACATCTTTGGAGCTCTGTGGAGCAGTGGAGAGAGAATCCACCATGAAAAGAGCTGGTATATAAATGTGGATGATTTCATTTCTCATATAGAACATTATTTGGATTTTTTTTTTCTTCATCATATTTCTGTGTTTTTCTTTCAGTCATTACTGTGATAGAAATTTTTTTAGAACTTTACAGAAATCTGCAGAAAATAATTAGTACATAATAACCTTATACAAAGTGCAATACATCTAGGTTATTTTTCTAGATTTTGAGTCCAGAAATACTTATTAATTTTATATAGATAAAACCTACATAGAAATATCATTTTTATGGGTGTGACAATACTGAAACTAAATGATTTTAACTTGTAATTCCATTCTTCAGAATAAGAAGCAACATAGTTTGCATTTAATGTTTTCATTTAAATTATTAGAATCTTGTTATGCATAGCATTTAAGTAGATATTTTAAATATATATATATATATATTTAAAAATCAATGTATTTTTATTTCCCACTGATCTTCTTAACAGAGAATTCTTGAGCTGGAAAATTCCCCTACAAAGTGTCCACAAACAGCCAAGCTGTTAAAAGAAAAAGAGGCTATATTTCATGCTCATATAGAAGAAATGAATGAAAAAACTTTAGAAAAACTGGATGTGAAACAAACAGAGCTAGAAGCACTTTCATCTGAATTATCAGATGCTCTGAATACCTGTCAAAATCTTGAACAATATATTTCTAAGTTAAAAGAGGATGCAGATAAAGCAAAGGTGCAGTTTGAGACAAAACTTAATCAGCAAAGGAATAATCATAAGGAACAAGTTGAAGCTATTTTAAAAGACCAGGAAGTAATTGAGAAATCATTTAAAGAAGAAATAATTCAACTCAAACAACTCTTGGAAGCAAAAGAGAAAAGTGAAGAAGAATTAGAACAGAAAAAAATGAAAGAAACTCTAGGAAAAGCTGAGTCACAATGTAAAAGAATGCCTGCAGAATTAGATTTTTTATGTCAGTCAAGGGAAGATAATGCAAGTATTTATGAAAACAGGTTTAAAAATTTGCAAGAGAAATTGGAACTTATAAAGCATAAAAAGTCAAAACTTGAAGAACTGGTTGTAAAACCTGAAACCCAGCTGAATGAAATAAAAACCGAGTTAGATTTTCAGACATCCCAGGTAAATGATCTAAAATGTGAATTGGAAGAAGAAAAGAGAGAAAATATACAGAACACCTCATCTCTCACAGAAAAGTATGAATCACAGTTAAGAAACCTTGAAGAGATCAGTCAGTTAAAAAGTCATTGCACTGGCAAGGAAAGTAAAATTGGACAAATAAAGCATTTCATGAAGCAACAAATTGAAAAGTATAGGCAGCTGTTATCAACCAAAGAAGAAGAAATTAGTGTTTTAAGAGACAAATATGAACTCAAATTAAAGCAGCAAGAGACACAAGCAGAGGAAGCTATAGAAAAAGAAAAAAAAATGCAGGAAGAATTTAAGCAAAAACTTTCAGAACAAGAAGCAAAACTGAAAAAAGAGATTGAGGGCAACCAGTTGGAATTTTGTCAGAAAGAGAAGCAGTTCACTTCAAAAATGCTGGCAATGGCTCATGCAAGTTCACTTGGAATAAATGATGCTATTTCAAAACTGGAGATGAATCAGAAGAAACAACTAAAAAGCATGACTGAAGCTCACAAGCAAGAAGTGGGTGAAGTTTTACATCTTTGGGAAAAGAAATTAAAACAGCAGGCTAAAGAACTTTGGGAAAAGCATGAGATAAGATTGCAAGAAAAAGAGCAAGAAATAAGAGATCTGAAAGAAAGACTGGCCATCTTTGATGCTGAAAGAGAAGGAAATAATGCAGAGATTACATGGTTAAAGAACAAAGATACAAAGAAAGACAAAACTATACATGAACTTCAAGAACAATTGCAACAGACATTAGCACAAGTGAACCTTTTGAAACAAAAAGAAATTGATTTAAAAAAGCAACTTGTAAAATTAGAGAATGATCTTAATTTTTCTTTGAAGGAGAAAATAACAGTACAGGAACAGCTTAATGAGCTAATGATAACAGAAGAAAAAAAGAAATATGACCTTTTGGAGCTGGAAGATAAACTGAAAATGTCTGATGTGGAACTCCATGCCTTAAAGATGTCTCATCTTAAAGAACAGGAGAATTATGGAACGAAGTTAGAAGGGGAAAGAAATGAGTTTCAGCAAAAACAAGCTGAATTTGAAAATTTCAAGAGAGATACAATTAGACAACTGGCTGATTACCAGCAAAAGGCAGAAACTTTATTGAAAATAAAAGTTGGTGAACTGATTGAACAATGCAATGAAAATATTTCTTCAATAATAGTTAAAATTGCTCACTGTCAGCAACAGACAATAAAAATTAAAGAAGGCATATTAATTAAAATCAATCAAATTCCAGATCTAGAATTTCAACTTAAACAATTAACAGAGAGTCATGTAACTTTAAACAGTAGTTTACAGGAGTCAAAAAAGCATTTGGAGGAAAAGGAACACTTAATAATGTCTATGAAAGCAGACATGGAAAAACTTTTAACTGAAAAGGAACTATTACAAAAAGAAAGTTATTTCCAGCAGCAAACAGCAACAGAGAAGGAATCTTGTATCACAGAGCTGAAGAAAGAATTATCTGTGCATAATAATGTTGTTACTTCTATGAGGGAGGAGATAAATGAGAAAAAAGCAGAAATCACAGATCTCAACAAGCTTATTAGTGAATTGAACCTCAGACTTGAAAACACCATATTAGAAAAAGAAACTGCCACAACAATGTTAAACAAGCAACACAAAGAAAACGAACTGCAGTTACTAAATGAGATGGAAGTACTATCTTCCAAAGTTGAATCATTGAGTGAAGATAAAGTTATTGCCCTGAAACAGGTAGACCACTGGATGAACAAAATGTCAGAATGGAAGAAGAAAGCTCAATTGAGATTTACACAAAATTATAATACTATTAAGGAATTACAAAATAAGATTGAACTGATTAATAACCAAGTCAGTGAAAAAGAAGAAGAACTGAATAGAAGGAAGGAAGAGCATGATAAACAAACCAAACGGTTAGAACATTTAAAAAGCTTAATGGAACAAAACCAGGTCAGAAAAGAAAAACAGGAATCTGATTTGGTTGGTGAGATAAAAATCCGTTCAGCGAGAATTGCTGAATTAGAAGAGCATATTGCTCGGAAAACAATGGAAAATGATTATTTAATGGAAGAATGTAAAAAGTATCATGAACAAGACAGTGAGCAAAAAGAAATGGCACAACAACTCCAACAGGCTCAGGGAGCAATAGTGGACAAGGATGACAAGCTGAAGGAGATGGAACAAAAAGTCCTAACTTTTGAGAAGAAAATGCAGGTTATGGAAATTGACCTGGAAAAAAAATCAAAAGAATTTGAAGGAATAAAACTGGCTCTATTGAAAACCAAAGAGGAAGAATTAAAGGCTTTAGAGGAAAGGCTTATTTCAGAAACAACTTCTAAAATAGCAGATCTGAAAAAAAAGGCTGAACACAAAATTGCTTCTATTAAAAGGCAGTTGCCAACTCAGATGGAAGAGAAAGAACAGCAAAATAAGCTAGAGAAAAAATTGCAAGAAAAAGAAAAGAAAATCATGTCTTTAGATTTAGAAAAAGAGTTGATACAGAAAGTAGAAACAATAAAAGTTTCTGCAGACCAAGATAAAGTCCATGCTTTAGAGAATATGCAAAAGATGTATGATTTAAAAATTGATATTTTAAGACAGGATTTATTAGATAAGGAGAGATTACTTGAGAAGTATAATGAGGAAACAAAAATGTGTAATATTTCAAAAATGGAGACTCGGGATCAGCAAGAACTTCTTAAAAGAGCTCAAGAAGATAAAAATAAAATTGAAAATCTTCAACGAGAACTTGAGGAACAAATCAAGAAACAGGCTTCATTACTTAAACAACATACTAAGTATGAGAGTGAATTAACAAATATCAAAGTAGAATTGAAAAACAAAGAAGTAAATCAACAAAATATGGAAATTGCACTTAAAGACTTAGAAAAAAAGCTTCAAGAAAAGGAGCAGGAAGAACAATCTTTGCAACAAAAGATATACCATTTTGGTGAAGATTTTATGAAAGAGAGACAACACAAGATTGAGGTGAAAAATAGGATTACAGAATATGACGAGAAATTAAACAGACTGCAAGAGCAGGTAGATGAAAGAAGTGGCCTTATAAAAATTCTGGAAGGAAATATAGAAGAAAAGACTAAATTAGTCTTTGAACTTCAGAAAATGGTTGATAAGATGCAGATGCAACAGAAAGATTTGCAAACTACACTGAAACATACAGAGCAAGAGAAACAGGAACATCACAGAAATATGATTAAGCTTCAGAAGGATTTGCGAACCTTGCGGAAAGATCATCAGCAAGAGCTGGAAATTATGAAGAAAGAATCTAGAGAAGAAATGGAGCAAAAAATAAAGTAAGTTACTATTAAGTAATTGTTAACTCTTTATTGAAATGTATGTAGAGTAAAACTGAATGAAATAACATTTTCCAAATATGGATATATGTATCTAGCAGGCAAACTCTGCTGTTTAAATCTGTTGAACCCTTTTATGGAGAACAATCTCAGTTTGGATGAATATCTCTCAATATAAAATGTCCAGTTATGAAAAAGTGTATTGTCTGCATGTGCAGTGTCTTTACTCCTTTCTTTGTGAATCAAACAATCACATCTGAAAAATATATGTTATCATAGTTACCCATTTTATGCAAATCAGAGTTGTCTATTTGCTTTAAAACAAGTCAAAATTTTGAAGTTCACAAGTGCAGATAAAATCCAGAAATTATGATTATTTAAAAACTTATATTTCTAATTGCATACTATATTTCTAATTGCATACTATATAAAGAAACACATAAGGAAGTAAAAGATTAATTCAACCTTCATTTTATGAGCTAAGATATAATAATAGGAATGTAACCATCAATTAGATATAAGCCTAAATTTATACAAAACAATTGAATACATGTATAGTCTGTTTCCAACAATTAATCATTTAAGATATATGTTTAAGATGCTATATTTAAAATTGCTGGATATTAATTTATAGTTCACACCTAAATATATTTACCTAAAATATAATCTATTTATATTGTTCCTAAATTGTCACCTTTTTACATTTTTACATTAAACAAGTATTTTCCTACATTTTCATTGTGGTAAAAATCTAAAGGATTAGATATAATTTTTAGAAGTATTGTATGGAAAAATAATGAAATGAATTATTTTAACCACTTTGTTACCCAATATAATCTATAAGAAAATTTTTAGCGTTTTTTTACCATGATGCTTCAGCTAAAAAAATCTTGATTTCTTATATTCTGATATCTTAATAGATATGAACAGGAAGACATTGAATTGAAGCACAATTCCACATTAAAGCAGCTAATGAGGGAATTCAATACCCAATTGGCACAAAAGGACCAGGAATTAGAAATGGCTGTAAAAGAAACTATCAGTAAGTTACAGTGATTTACTTTGTACATTTCAAATACTACAAATATCAAATATGTTTTTTTTTTCAGAGAATTTGGGTAGCATTTTTGACATGATGCTCTGTAGGTGTTATGGACTGCAAATGGCATCACCCACCACCAGTTTATTCCTCATATGACAACTGTAGAAGAAAAAAAAGAAAGAAATAGAATTCAAAGAATTTAAGCACCTAAAAGGAAAAATACAGAAGGTGAGATAAGGACATGTCTCTGGTGCAGAGAAGGAAAGTTAGTGGGACTTTTGTTGAAACTGGGAAAAGCAGGAAAGAAAAATGTGGGGGGGGGGGCTGTAAATCGTTAATGCAGAGAAGTTCCATGGCAAACAAGAAACAGCATGAGTAAGGCCATGTGAGGACAAGGCTTGAACAGTATCCTCAGCAGCATCTTACTTCTTTCTGAATCATAGTTCAAAATGGTTGCAGCTATCAGGAAACTAGAGAATGAAGGAGGAGTGGAGAAGTAGTTAAAAGTGCCTAGTTCAAATGGCATTGCTTCAGTATGAGAAGACTGCCAATACCTGTCCTGGGGAATGATACATGAGAAACTCCAAACAAAGAAGAGAGGAGTTGATGGCTGTGAACTCAGAACTCAATCACTTAAGAAAAAGGTACCAAAAAAGCCAGTGACTCAGGAGAGAGAAGAGTGAGAAAGAGATATTAAATAATAAATCCTAGGAGTAAAGTAATAACACAGTCAAGAAGTAAAGATCAGCAGGCTTGCTAAGGCAGGAAGAGCAATAAAGTAAAAGAACAATAGATGTTCAGGCAGAAAAAGATATTAATGAAACCAAGAAAAGAGTTTTAATGTTAAAAGTGAAATCTTAATACAAATTGAAATAATAACAGAATAGAGATTAATGAACCCTTAGCAATAGAGAAATAACCAACCCATCTTTTGTTCACTCTAAAGTAAAAACCAACCTCTTTTTCAGTCATGCCCTAGTCATCTCTTATATTGACTACTGCAAAAATATATTACTTGAAGCTACCCTTGAGTGTCCAGAAGGTGGAGTAGATGCATAATGTGAATAGTTTTGGATGCACCAAGGCTTGCACATGTAACACCTTTGCTTTGTGAGCCACATTGGGTACCAGGTATTTATTATCAACTTCAAAGCCTTTCATGGCATATGGTTGCCTGAGCAACTCTTGTCCTTATTTCATTAACTCACACACCCTCCCCAAATCAGGCAAAGATAATATGTTGCAGAACCAATTGGTTAAAGAACTTTGACTAGGGTGGAAGAAAGTCTTTTCTGCCATTGTTCTCTTCCTATGAACAGTTTGTCCCTGGAGGTGAGGCAATATTCCTAACATTTTGGAAGAGCATCAAGACTTAGCTCTGTCAACTGTCATTGGAGTCTAAAAGTATCATGCAACCCTGGGAGTGGTTAGTGCATGGGTGTCATACTCGATGTCATTGACGGCTGATCAGGGTTGTGTTTGACCTCGGGGTGGGGCATGGCCAGGGTGGGCGTGGCCAGCTTCACATCACTCATATTGGGGGTGCCTGTGGCCCGACCACTCTGCCAGAGAAAACGGGCTCCCTTTTTGGCTGGGACAGCCTCCTGCAATCCTTTTTTTTTTTAAACAAGTTTTATTGGTCCCCTCCCCCCACCACATTTACCAACATCTTTTTTGAACAAAGCATTGGCCATATCTTATCTTATACAATTAATCAAATTCAAATACATTTTACTCAATTACAGTTTTTGCCAAAATCTCCCCCCCCACTTTTAATCATGTCTCAATATTTCTATGCTTGCTTACATAAACAACATCTTCATTTGCCCTTAAATTCTAATTATTTGCTATTTATTCATATTTATTCTCTTTTATTCTTTAAACAATTCATTCTTTATCTTAATATCTGTATATTTGTTCGGGATTGCCTTTCTTCCATTTCATCTTTTTTATTGTACAGCAATCTTTCTCCTCAAACCTACCACCTCTCTCTTTTCTTTCCTTCTTACTTTCTCTTCCCCTCCTCTTCATCTCCTCCCTACTTCCCCTTCCTTTCTCCTTCTCCTCCTCTCTTCCTCCCTTACCCTCACTCCTACTCTAATTTCCCTTCCCTTCCATCCTCCCTTCTCTTCCTTCCCTCTCTCTCCTTCCTTCTCTCTTCCATCTCTCTTCTCCTTCCTTCATTCCTCTCTGTTGCTGTATTCATTTTCAATTTTATATTTTCCACTATGGAGTCCAGGCAACCCCGATTTTTCTTTCATTTATCAAGTATATTTCTCAAAATTTTCCCTCATCTTTTTAATTATTAGCAGTATATTTCATCTTATTCCATTTTTTCTTTTAAATATTTACTCAAACAATCTTTCAACCCTTAGACTTTTAACTTTTAATAATATATTTTTTCTACTTTACTTCTTACAAGTATATCATTTGAATCATTTTTTGCATTTCAATTTTATTCAATTTTACACTTAATTTCCATTTTCCATCTTAATTTCAATTAATTCTTATATTATAATTTATTATCTCTTTTTAGTGCTTCCTCTAATATCATTCTTTCTTTCACATTACATTGTTCTATTTTTCATTTAACAGCATTTTCACATACAATTTCTACAACTAGCATTCTTCTCTTTATTGACAAATTAACATTTTCACTGACTCTTAACCAGTTTCTTAGTCTCTCCACAGTTCGCTTTCTTGATGTTTTCCTCTCTTTCTCCCATTTCTTTACCTTCTTCTTTTTCCTTTTCTTATATCTCCCCTTCAGCCTTTTTCCTTTAATTTTAACTCTATTGCTTTTCATTCTCAATCTTTCCCCATTTATTTCTCTTCTCTTCATGTTTGAGATGTATTTTCCTTTATCCATTTTTATTCTATCACTGTTGAACCCAGTGTAATCATCTTTACCTTTTTTTCAATTATTTCCTTTTCAATATTATCTCCTTGTTTCTCTTGCTTCTCATTCATCTTTTTTCTTTCTTTTTTTTGCCATCTAACCAATCCTCTGCTTCTTTATTTCCCTTAAATGCTTCCCTTATTTTTTGAAACATCTCCCTTAGTATCTCATATTCATCTTCCCAATTCTCCATATTTTCAATTTTAAAAGGCTAGGATTTTTAATTTTGTTCTTTTCATTTACATATACTTCAGGTTTCAAAGTCTATATAATATCTCTTTTTTTAAAAAAAATGTCCACTTCAAATATTTACTTGAGCCAGCACAGTTTAGTCTTTGTCTCTTTAACCTTGCTTCAGCTACACAAATATGCACTCCCACACCTCTCTCTCACGTTCTTTCTTCCAACAAATGTCTTTCTTCAATTCACTAGTCTTCTGGCAATAAAATCTCCATTTTATAATCCACAAGAATGCTTACTTTCTCTTTTCCAAATTAAATCCTTTATTGTTTTAAAAAAATGTTTTTCTGTCTCCTTTTTCCTTGTCTTATTCTTATTTTTTTCCAAATCTAATTATAAATCCAAGTGGAAGATTCCTTTTAGGGCTTTAGGTTTGATTTTAAAGTTCCTTTTTCCTCTCTCTTCACTTAAATTCCCCCTCCAGCAGCTGTTTCTCCGATTCACAGTTTCCATAACAAAATATCCATCTTGCTATTGATAGCCGGGCTATCAATTTAATGATTTTTAAATTGGGTTTTAAATTTTTGGGGTTTTAAATTTCAGCCGAATTATGTAATAATTTTAATTATTTTTAACTGATGTTTGTCTTTGTGTTTTTTAATAGGCTGTACACCACCCTGAGTCCTTCGGGAGAAGGGCGGTATAGAAATAAAATTATTTATTTATTTATTTATTTATTTATTTATTTATTTATTTATTTATTTGCAATACACAAAAGCATTCACTCTTTAAATTAAATTCTTCTGCTGTTTAAAATGTTTTTCTGTCTCCTTTTTCCTTGTCTTATTCTTATTTTTTCCAAATCCAATTATAGATCCAGGTGGAAGATTCCTTTTAGAGCTTTAGGTTTGATTTTAAAGTTCCTTTTTTCTCTCTCTCCGCTTAAATTCCCCAGTGCTAATTAGCTGCCAATTTCCTCTGGGATTTCTTTCAAGCTGTTAAAAGTTTTATCCTTTTTACCTGTGAGTTGGCTAATTACTCACCCGGCAACAATACTCTGTTCAATTACCGCTCCAACATTCCCTCTTTCTGATCGTGGCCGCTCTGGCTTGTGACAGCTCCTTAATGGCTGCCTTCCTTCGCCAACAGGTCGAAGACTAATGCCGGCACTTCAGGGAACTGGCTCACTCCCTATCCATGCCAGCCAGTGTCTTCTTTCTTCACTGTCTCCACAAGACAGCTATGATCCCTGGGGATCCCCAAAATCGGTTGGATATTGGGGTTCTCCTGGAGCCCCAGAATCCACATGTATTGCCTGATGCCGGCCAAGCTCACTTCCAGCCTCCTGCAATCCTCTGCCAGCAAAAATGGAGCTTGGGAGGGCTGTGTTTTTATTTATTTTATTTATTTATTAATTTAATTTGTATACCGCCCTTCTCCCAGAGGAGACTCAGGGCGGTGAACAGCCACAATTAAAAAACATAGAAATACAAAAGTTAAGATAATTAAAAAAGAATTAAATCATTAGCTTCCCAGTTTAAAACCCCCAAATCCATAAAATTTAAAATCCCAATTAAAAACCATTTAAGCTAGGCCGGCTTGGTGGAATAAAAACGTCTTCAGGGCTTTACGGAAGGTCCGGAGGTCCGGGATCAATCATATTCCAGGAGGCAGCTCGTTTCACAGGGCGGAGAGAAGGCTCTCCCCCTGGGGGCCGCCAGCCGACATTGCCTGACTGACGGCACCCTGAGGAGGCCCTCTCTGTGAGAGCGTATTGGCCGGTGGGAGGTTATCGGTAGCAGCAGGCGGTCTCGCAAATATCCTGGCCCTAAGCCATGGAGTGCTTTAAAGATGAGAACCAACACTTTAAAGCGCACCTGGAAGACCACCGGGAGCCAATGTAGCTCGCGCAGGAGAGGTG